TGTGCAAAATGATTTTCATAATATGACTTCTTGGCTCTTTTTATCTCGTTGTTGACGCGATTTCTAATAGACTTATAATCAGATTCAGAGAGAGAGAGAGAGATTCAGAGAGAGAGAGATATTCAGAGAAAGAGAGAGAGAGATTCAGAGAGATGCCTGAGTGGAGGAGGCTATAGGGTTTTGAATAAATGTTCCTCTAAATAGTTTCATTCAATTATTTTCTAATTTTCATACATATAAATAAAAAAGAAACATTTTAAAATTCCACAGCTGTTTCCAAGGTGATTTGTAGCCCGCTGACCAGAAGTATGGCTGACGCTCATCCTGATGAAAAGATCACTCGGCCGGAGGAGTTCGTGTCTCAAGAGACAGACCATCATAGGATTTTCTCTTTTTAGTCTTTATCTATAACAGTAACCTAAATCCTTTCACAACTACCTCAGGTTTCATCTGATGGTTGATCTGGGATTAATGAACAGAATCCTTGAGTAAAGTTGGCCAGTTCTTATCGGGAGAACTTAAAAAATCTAAAACCTGATTGTTTATTGACGTTTTTCGGGAAATCCTTTGAACAGATTAGTTAGGATTATGCCTAGTATAGTTTCAGTTATTCGAGATGTGTTTGATAAACCACATCAAGTAAACCATTCAGTAATAGACAAGGAAGTCTATCAGTAAATTAAGGAGTCTGTTTATCTCAAGCGGATTTCTTTGGTATAAGATAAACTGAGCTTGACTGATAATGAAGGTCAGACCGTAGTTCCATATAGATTTTAAATCATTAATTTCACTCCTAGAATAACTGGATCTTTGGAATTCCTAGCCTTGGACAGGGTGCATATAATGCAGGCTCAGACATGCGCAGAACTGATGGGTACTCTTGGCACTTTGTCGAGCATGCGCAGTATGAAACAAAGCAAGCAATTCCTGGATTTTAATAAGAGTCGTCAATAGGGGGCAAAACTACAACAGGCCTTAGACCATGCCTCTATGCAACGAATAGTCCCCTTCACAGTTCCCTGCGCCATCTTGAAAGCTAGCCGTGCCTTCGCATCGAAGCGAGACGAACCGTGAGCTTGCAATGATAGAGACATGCGAATAATTGTCTAAGGTGTTAAAAAAAGTCTCTATCATTGCAAGCTCACCGTTCGTCTCGCTTCGATGCAAAGGCACGACCACCTTTCAAGATGGCGCAGGGAACTGTGAAGGGGACTATTGACATAGCTTGGACCATTTACAAAATCTGCGATCAATGCGAAATAAAATATCTATAGAGTTTCTTTGAAACACCGACTGCCGCCGGTAAACAAGGAAGGACGTTAGGAAAATATAGCAATGCTCAGTCAAAATACGTTTTATTTACTCAAGGTTCATTGCCATAATGAAAGAACGGATGAATCAACAGATACACTGAAAGAAAATAATGAAAGCCAATCTCTTTTACGGCGATCAAAACTAAAAGTTTGCTCAGTCAACATTCGTGACTAAAGCGTTTGGTGCTTTGTTTAGAAGCTGTTTTTTTTTTCAAGGGAAGAAAACCCGTTTGAGCAACGGAGGGGAGAGTCTAAGAAATTCTTTTCACGTATGAGATGCCAGGTCCAAGAATCCAATGAGAGGCGTCAGTCACATTTACAAACCCAGCGCCTGTCGATTCAAGCTTTCAAACCCCCGTGCGAGAGCGTCTGTATTTTTTCCGCAACTGCTCCAAACTGCAATGTATATCCGAGGGCAGGAAAAGAGAATGATAATCTACTTCATGTCACACTCTCTGGTATCAGAGAGGACACAGAGGATGGTATTCTTGTACTGACTAGCATCATCAGGTCTTAACGTCCACCTTATGAAACACATCCCCAAACACAAGCTTTTTACAACTGGAGGTATGCTTTAATGAGTACTGTTTACATGTTCTTAGAGAATTGACTCTTCAAATATGATGAACTTTTGCACGGCTATGTCTTCGAAATATGACGATATGATATGAATATTTGTTCTCTTTTTTAAACAGGAAAGTGTTCATGATTGTATATCGGGAGGACGATTGTGGAGATACGTAGTTTTTGGGGACTAACTTTTGTTCAGCAATATCTTTTGTGGGAGTTGGATTGGAGGTTGGGGGGGGGGGGAGCTGGGATGAGGGAAGTGGGTGGAAAATATGACGTCATGTCAACAATCAAGTATTCATGTAGTCACAAGGGGACAAAATATTACCAAGATTGAAAGAAACTTTGACTAACAAGCTATCGGTTCCTAAGAAGAAATTACCGGTTGTTTGATAATGAGGTGATATATTTATCATATTTTTTCTCATCTTGATCTTCTTTACTTTTTAGTTTGCATGGCGATCCAAATGCTTGAGCTTTTGATCACACAATTCGAAGGCTCTCCAAGAATTCAATATTTGATCTAGTGCCATCCTACTCTTCATCATTCTCTGTCTCCGATTCTCCTTACATTTTGCTGAACCGTCAATTTTCTTCTGTGTCCTCTGACGTATCCTGTATCCCAATTAACTTTAACAAATGATATGTTTTTCTTAAACTTAATTAGCTGTTCACAAACGAAATTATACTATAATTACCTCAGAACATTGCTTTTGAAAGTGGAACTATCTTTGATAACGCATTTCCGCAACAGAAATTGACTTCGGGAATGATTGAACAATTAGTCAAGTTAAAGATCCTTTTCCGCTCTTAATTTTCTTCCACTCTAAAGCTAGGCTCTTTAGAGAGTCAGTTATTAAATTTGACTCAAAGAGCAATAAATCCGAACAAAATACGATATACATATGTATATATACACATTTATATTTACTTTTAAAGTTGAAAGAATATTTTGTGGATTATTATAAAAAAGAAACAGAGAAAACGAGAGAATGATCTCATGACAACATCTATTTTTGGTCATCTATAAGTAAATAAAAAATCTTCAAATTTTATCGATACCCTGAAGCTCAAGAGAATGTTTTTGGGAAATTATTTCTAGCTTTAAAGCAATTTCGAAGGCTCAGTGCCTTTTGGGGATTTCAGCTTCACATAAGTATGAAATTCAACGCAAAACATAATGTTGAATAACAACATTTTCCGTCGGTGTATCATGTTATTGATCGTCAATGATCTTGGCACCATAGTTAATATTAATTATGGTGGCACAACGCTTGTTTAATACCCTTATTGAAAAATTTTTTTGCCATTGTCTTTTGGGCGATTTTTTCTTCTCTAACGAGCTACTTTTTAAGACGAAAACCCTACACATTGCCTCCTCAAAGTAAAGCCATTACTTAACTATAAAATGCATGAACAAAAAATATTTCATTACTAAATGTCATCACAAAATAGAAGACCGAAGGAAGAGCATGGAGAAAAGAGAGAGACTTACATGCCTAATTAGAAATTTCACATCAATACATTGTAAGAAATGTGTCCTGCGAAGAGAGAGGGGGGTCATTACTGTGTTCCCCTGTCCGGACGAATCAAAAAATTCCCAGATACGCTCTCTCCTCCCATTAGAAAAAAATATCCCCGGCACATGATGAGCGTTTTCAAATGTTTTTCGTTCACGCGCAAATGCAATAACGATTTTAAACCACTTTTAAGCCGGTAATCTAGTACAATGCTTGCGCCAATTAAGCTCAGCTCTTTAACCCCACACCGGGCACGAACAATCATTGATCGATCTAATCTATCAAAGTACAAACAAACATAAGAGATCATCTGAAGTAAAAACAAGCAAACAAAATCCGATGACGTACTAGTTGCTCTCAAAGTTTAGTCCAGAACTCGCGGAAATGTTTAACTGCCATCTCAGCTTAAAGGATCTTCTTGGACTTGAAATGTCCTGCAGCTGACAGTATCTCACATATTGTAAAAACCCTTAATATTTCCGTTAGGGAGTGAAGGTTGTCGACAATTAGCATTGATCTGTTTAATTTAAGGGATCAGTAAGTCTTGATAATCGCAAACAATCATTAGTGGTTAAGAAAGGAAGCTAACGACAAGCCATGGAGTTATAAGAACAGCGACTTACTTCTAGATAGCACAGTACTCGATTCATTATAAGTGGAAATCAAGGCGAGATTCAGAAGAACTATACTAACCTTCAGTGAAATTCAAGGTAAGAGAAAACGTGCATCAGTGAACTAGACATATGGTAGAACAAATCTATATGAACATTTTTAAATGAAGAATTATCTGCCTGACTGTTTTTAGGTATTATATATTTTGTCTTTTTCATTTTATATATTTTCATTCCTCTTACTAAAACCACAGAAACACCTGATATATTTTCTGTTTTATTCAACTTTTTTCCCGCTTTTCCATCTTCCATTTATTTACAGAATCCGTGTCCCAAGAACGTCTAGTTCCTTCCCCTTCGTCTGTCTCGTCGTATTAAGATCGTTAGTTTTAGTGCTCATATTGATATATCTTGTGGTTCCATCTCTTCCGCCTTTTTCTTGTCACTCTTTCTCCAGGCCATTATCCAGGGATTTCATATCCAAGGATATTAATCGTACACTTATCTGATTCAACACTTCACTTCCATGTAAATAGTGTAATTCTGGAATGAGTGCCACAGATTTGTTAACCACTGCCTATTAAATCAGTGCTACTCTCTGGTAGAACAAGGACCATTGCTTTATCTTGTTTTTGACCTTAGCCTCTCAATCTTTTGAGCCTCTTAGAAACCGAAAAAAACAACTTAAGCACTATCTTAAGCTTTCATTTTCACATTTCCTCAAACCTTTTAAAGCGCTTTAAAAACTATTCAAAACTTTCCCTCATCAGTCCTCGCTCTCATCAAGTATAATTCGAAAGGCGATTGGTTCCGTACCTCGTTACAAAGTAATTTATTTTACAATCACATAGCGGACATGTTGTATAAACAATAATTACCTCCTTCGGCTTAAACAAAGGAGAGACGAATCCCGACAATCGTACAGTTAAAGAGGCTCACACTAAAAAAGCTTCTACGGAGCACTTTTGCGGAAGGGGGAAGGGGGTTGATAGCGGAGAAAGACCTCACTAACAGACGTCAGTAGAGCCGGGTCATAACAGAAGCTTATCTTTTGGTTCAGCACTTCAATCTTCAAAGACACGTACTTTGTTTTGTTCTTATTATGATTTTTATTTCAGAATAAAAAAAATAAATCTCAAATTTAATTAAAATTCGACTTTTATAGCATGATATTTACCTCGCGTAAATATTCCATCGATAATCACTTCTTCGCCTTCAGCGAATAATTGTTAAATATTGGAGCAAGTTGCGTGTTCTTCCTGAAATTCTATAATTAAATCTTTTGGAGATACTGTATCAGATTTGTAAGCAATTGAAACCGAAGAAAATAATAATCACTAAGGCTCAGATCAAACGTCGAACTTCACATGAGCCGAACCTAAATTAAACAATAGATAACAAGGCGGTCTCCTTTGATGCTATTAGGTTTGGCTCTTGTGAAGCAGATACAACCTAGAACTAGTACTGAACGGCTAATTCACTTTCCCTTCCCACCGGCTCTAAGTAGTCCAACAAAACACCTTTAAAAAGATCCCTACTGATATTTTTACTTTGTGATACTTTTGTAGATGAAGGGACATATGATGTTGTGCGCTATGCTAGTAATGACCATCCTCTCTGTCACCATCCCACAAAGCGAGGCCAACCCATCCATGTGTCTATGGGATTGTTCTGAACAAACCAGTTTTTGTCAAAGATTTTGTAGAGGCGGGAATTGCAATGTTTGCGCTTCACTCAACTCTGCATGCAGGAGTGGATGCCGAAAGAAATAAAACGGATTAAAAGTCTTCTTAAATGTACCAAAATCAACCTTTAAACGCCCAATAACACCACAGAACTTCAGAGCCTAAGTAAGCATAGATATATTGGAAATAACTGTATCAGTGGAAACGGTTGACTGTTTAGTTCTTTCTGTTGTAGTTAAAAGTAATACCAAATTGTGTGAGTTTATGTTTGTCATTGTCAGGAATATCTGATAATTAATGCTAAATAAAGCTAACAATAAACTCAGTTTTGCTGCTGTTTTCGCTCCTTAAATTTCACACCTTTTCCAGCGATTTTCAAGCAGCAGATTGCCTGCATTAGCTACATAATTGTTTGGTAGCTGATGTGTGACGTTATAGCTGCCATCTTGGATGACTGTAACGAAACTTTTGGTCTTGGGTCTTTTGTCATGTTCAAGCAAAAAGTCGGACATGTCGGGATGCATGCCCATTAGTCATCATTGGGTTATTCATTGAGGGAGATGCTAGATTATGGCTAGATGGGAGGGGCATTGTTAAAAAACAATTTTTGGGTGCATGTTACCACTCTTGGAAGTTGATCCTTTCATGTGTAAATATTTTAACACATTCGTCATAAAAGAGCAATTCTCAAGGAAATGTCATGTGATCTGAAATGGACAATTAATTGCGTACAAAGGTCTATTGGCACTTTCAGAAAGCTGTATTACTGAGAGAAAAAAAGTTCTCTAATTGTTTTATTATACATAAAAAGAATGTTCTAGTTCTTATTGTAGTTTACCTACTTACAATAAATTATGTTTGCAAAGCCAGGTGGGTGGACAGCATAAGCATTGACCTTTCCTGAGATAGAAAACATGGTGCATTGTGGTCTACCTTGGGTACAAACATCTTTTGTTCAGACCAGAATAAACATTGTTTGTCAAACTCAAGAAAGGGCTATGGTGGTCTGTTTGCTCATAAACCATAGCTCTCCACCAAACAGAATGTGCATAAAACGTTGATTATATAACTGTCATGAAGCATTTTTAAGTTCTTTTCTATCTTGCGGAACAGTTCTCTTCATTCATTTCTCTAGGTGCTTCATTTGCCACAATCCATCATTTAGATAATGTATATTCTCCACACCAATGCCTTTATTCACTGATGAACTAATAATCAAATAACAGCATAATGAAAAATAAGACAAAAATATGATAGAAAATATAATAATGTAAAGAGACGGGACAGAAAATATACTATCTTTCTAATGCTGAATGTACAGCTAACTTACATCTCATCTGTAGACATCTTGAGTACTCCTATAGCTAAAGCATGCTGTTTGCCCTCAGCCATTATCGCCTTATTGAATGTCAAGAAAAATTTTTTTTAATGTGGTTTTCAAAGATGCTACTATTTGTTTTGTGCATCTAAAACTAAGAGGGGGTGTAGCGAATCCCTCATCCCCCCTGAATCCTACTTGGCTCAGTCTAACTTTCAAAGTAACACAGTCGATAATTAAATCAGGGTGGGAAAGTCTTCTTTAATGATTATTAGAATTAATCTTTGAATAAGGATACAACCACAGCATCTTTTGGTTGTTGTACCATCTTGGCACCAGGTGATGTCAAGCCAGGACACATAATATTAGCTCCACTAAGAATAAATCTGATAGCTCCACGATCAACTTGTTCATGGGGTAACATACATGGATCTAAAATACAATAACCTTAGTTAATCTAGTTGTCATAGCTCAGAAATAAATGGGCAAAAAGTAAGCTGATACTCTGGTAGAAAAAAGAATCAAGGTTCATCAGAATGGAAGCCATCACCGTGGTTGACCAACTGTTCACCATTAGTGGTCGATCATAGTCAATCATAGGCAATTTTGGCCAATCAAACTCAGGCTTTTCAAACACACTTCTCATCCATTTTAAAATCTTAAATGATCAACCCTCTGCTGATAGAATGGCGTACCCTAAGTGAACAACTATGAGGAGACCAATAAAGGACCAATGGACCCTTGATGTTAAATTAAGATGTTTAATGCGAATGTTTTTTAAAAGTTCATAATACAAAGTCGTATACATTTCTTTAGTACGTACATTGATGTAACAGTCTTAGACTTGGATAATAAGTGCCATCTCTTTGTCTAAAGAACAGTAATTCTTGGTTGACTGAAAGAATCTCTATGTGATCATGACTGATGAGAGAAAATCAGGGGGAAAAGATTAATTTCAAATTGATAATTTTTGAAATCCAAAATGAGTGATGTAAACAATCTAAACTGTCAGCAAATGGTCAGTAAATGTTTGGTAAGTTGTTAATTTTTGAGAGAGAGGGAGAGAGAGATAAGGAAGGATAAAGAGAAAAGAGAGGGAGAGATTGAGGGTTGAAGGGTCCAAGGAAGTGAAAGGAAGCAAGGAAGGGATGGTTGGAGGCAAGGAAAGAAGAAAGTGATGGGAAAGAAGGAAAGGGAGGGAGGGAGGGAGGGAGGGAGGGATGGAGAGTAGGAGTAAGCAAGTAAAAAATAACTTAAAGTTCTTAACTTTGAAATAATTAAAATAAATAAAAAACACCTGACCTACCATTTAACAACAACCATAGGATCTTTTTTGGGAAAGATTTGATTAATATAATCTGCTATTGGTGGGAACTGTTCAACTATTTTGTTTTTGATTCCTCTTTGGACTGAGGATTTCACTTGGGTAACACCAGAAACATTCTCTTTGTGTTGAAATCTGGAAGAAAAATAAAAGACACTCTCACACTTGTTCTTGCTAGTTATTTGGTATGTCAGTAATATGTGCATGAGAACAATAGCCTTGTGAGCTTTAGCACCCCAAGGGCGGCGGAAGGTAAAAATCTTTGGGGGGGGCACTGCAAAAATCTTTGGGGGGCACTGAAGATTATATTTAACGCTATGTGATAATGACAATGTTTTGTTTGATTGCAGACGCATGCGCCGTAAAACAATGACTAAGAACCAATATTTTGGGGGGGCCAAGCCCCCCCAAAAAATTTGGTGGGGGGCATGTGCCCCCCTGGTTCCTCTGCCTCTGCATTCATCTAAGGGCAGAATCTTAGCGCTCCTCATAAGAAGCAGATCCACTGAAGGCTTCTTAGTGTATAGGGAAGGGGTGGGTAGGGATATATATCTATCAGCCAAAGGTAGGTTAAATTTTAATTAACCAATCATTCCTCATGCCATCCAATCTTCATTCTAATAACCAACCAATAATATTTTTAACAAAGTAGAAAGCCATATGACTTCTTCTTATCATCAATGTTTGAAAAATCGCTGAACAGAAACACGGCTAACCTCGATATTTTCTTGGTAGGTTCAAAACCACTATTAAGACACATAGATAAATAATCCTATAACATTATGATAAAAAAGAATCACTTACTTCTTAAACATTGTAGTTGTAGTAGCTTCTATACATGGGATAAATGATTAAATTGTATCGAATTCGATATATATTAAACCTTAGTGATTTTTATTTGAGTTTTTCCCCTCTGAGGTCAGCGGTTGCTCAAGGAGTACTTGAGACCGCGGTTCTTGTGTTCAGCGCTACAATACCACAGGGAACCCAGTGATACAAGATTGTCAAAGGTTCCAAGATGGCGTCGTCCGTACGAAGTAATCCAGCACCGAAGTTTGTCCAAGGAGAGACAGTTTTATGCTACGAACCGGACCTTACTAAATCCAGAGTTCTATACGAAGCAAAAGTGGGTCATTTCTTTAAATCAAAATTTTTTGTGCGGCGAAGAAAAGACCTAATTTGAGCTAGAGAAATATAATTTTTTGCAGGTTCTTGAAGTCGACCTTACTAAAGACGAGAAAGGAAAGAAGGTTCCTGAATATTTCATTCACTTTAATGGCTGGAATAAAAGGTACTCCAAGTTTGTTTGTTCTGAATTGAAAGTATTTGATGGTTTTGTTAAGTTATTTTATCTTTGCTTGGCATTTACAAGTTATATTTTCATTCTATTTATTACCAAATAAATGTCATAAAAGCATTTAGTGTTTGAGTACATTATCTTATCTGTGTTCGAGTGTTAAAGCTTTATTTATCACTAAGCATATTTATTATTATGTTACTTGATAGCTGGGACAGATGGGTTATTGAAGATCAAGTGCTTAAAAACTCAGAAGCCAACAAAGCATTAAAAGCCAAACTGCATGAACAAGCATGCAAGTGAGTACTTGCTTTCATTTCTTTGACATTATGTTCGGTTATTGTGTCGTTGGGAGGGGGGATCATTTCTAAAATCCATGGAAGTGGGTGTATAGAAAGGGAGAGTCCATTTTATATGAGGAGGAGAGGAGGGGGGGAAATATGTGGGTGGGGGGAAATATGTGGGTGGGGGGATACCGAAATTTTTGGGGGGACTCTAAAATTTTGTCATGCATACAAGGAGGGCTCTCAATTTGAATTCACCATATTCATGGGTTGTTTGTGGGGCTTCAAAAATAAATTTAAGTCCTAAGGAGGGGCCTGTGAAAAAATATGGTTTTTGAGGATAAATCTTTCCCCTCCCCTCCCTTGGCATATTAAATGAACTTTCCCTAAACTGCTCCCATAATTCAGTCCCAGTGAGCAACCAGCACAAAGGAACAAAAAATACCACTTATGCAATGAGTGTATGTGTGAATTGATTTATTTCAAAAATATTTAATGGTAAAGTTTAATTTTTAATATTTTTATGTAGCACAGTAACCTCCAGGCTTACTTTCAGCTCAGTATGTATAAGGCTGTTAGGTAAAATTAATACATACTTTGATTAATGAGTCTTGCTTTTCTTCAGGAGCAAGAAGAAGCGAAAACAACAACGAGCAAGCACAAGTTCAGAAGATAACATTCAAAGCACCAGCAATAATTTCAATGCAGAAATATCATCTTATGAGGTAAAAAACAAGTTCTGGATTTCCCATTTTGATTGTTGTTTCTTTTCTTTGTCTCAGCACCAGATCAATTTTTAATTCTCTTCAACCATTTTATTACAGAATCTTATTATTGTGGGTGCCAAATGATATTCTCTATAAAATTTAGTGTCAACAAAGGGGGTAACTACTGTGCTTAATGGTAAAAATAAATGATCATATATGGTATATCTTTTGTAGGCAGAAAATACTGATCAACCAAAAGTAGAAATTGAAATACCAAGTCAGCTCAAGCTAAGGCTGGAAGATGACTGTTACTTTATCAAAAGAAAAAAGAAGGTTAGTGAGAACTAATGAGAATTAACTACTGGAAGTAGATTTATTGGATTGATGGTAGTGTACTGAAAATTAATTTGTTAATGAATTTTGTTTCTTTTAGCGTGTATACCAACATTAGATTCAGTTATCTGAGTTTACTTTAGGCTGGCATGATTCAAGTAACATTAATTTTTTTTTCACCAACCAAAAATAATTTTAATTTATTGGCAATTTTGGTCACTTTTTAGTTGATTCAGTTGCCCAGAACGCCATGTGTGGAAGACATCTTGGAGGAATATTATCAATATTATTTAAAAACAAACTCTGAAAGCAGGTATTTAATGACAGTGAAGACATCTCTATAAACAGTTGTTATTTGTTGGTAATGGTAATGTTACTAAAACTTAATGCCTGGAAGATAACACCAGTACTATTACTTGTTATTGCAGTGCTCATCTTGTGAAAGAGCTAATGGATGGTCTCAAAATATACTTTAATTTCACTCTACCTACGCTTCTTCTATACAACTTTGAGCGAGAACAGTTCAGACAAATCATGCAGCTAGGTCCAGGAGAGAGTGCCAGTAATGACAGTCAACCCAGCAGTGAACAAAATGGCTCTGCTCTAGAAGAAAAGTGTGGTGTTGTGAGTTCCACTACTGAGAACGCAAAAACTGTTGATGAACCAACAAACTCACCAAGAGAGAAAGAGAGTAAGTGTTCCAGATATAAAAACAACAGCAATATCAACAGCTGTAGGGCATCAGTAACACAAATGACAATATCAGCTCAGTATTGGGTCATGGATAATGAACAATTTTTTTCAACTTTGGCCCACCTGCTTCTTGATATTTGCAGATTTATATTTTCTGCACTTTTGATTTTAAGATCTTTTGATAAAGATAAATATAAAAAAAGAATCCTATGACCAAATTCATGTATTTGAGTAACAAAATTTCCTTGCAACATGATTCCAACTCATGCTTTTGTTGTCCCTTTAGAGAGAATCTTAAGACGAAGAGCTCTAAGAAGCAATGCAGCACACAGTGACCAACAAACCAGCCCAGCAAGTCAGTCAGGTTCTGATAACAAAAACCAGAATGATACCCTAGATCAAACAAATCCATCAAATGTAACTAATAATGAGGAATCTCAGTCATCCATGGTATCGTCAACTTCATCACCCTTACATGTAGATAATTCAGTTAGCAGGCTGTCAACAAAGAGGGTGAGTTACAGTACTGATCTTATATTCACAGTTATAGACGTACACTGTAGGATACAAAATTGATGGATGCCAGACCTAACAAGCTAAATTCTGATTTGATCTGTGAGTTAACTGTGCAGCCCATGACTTTGAATTAGTGCAGCCCAGAGAATGTTTTGTGATAAAGTTTGAAGGTTTACAAACTGCAAGCAAAGGGGTACACAGTGTGACAACTTCTGGTGTACTTGGGAGCTTTACAAAAGTACTGTTATAGCTTGTTTGAAACCACATAGATAATGACATCATCTACAGGTTGTACATGATTGTATTCCAACATTATTGTTGATCATCTATTTTTTATTAATTTTTTCACTTTCAACCATCTGATAACTATCCAACAGAAAGCAAAAGAAGTAGAAGAGACTGAGCCATCAAATAAACAACCTTCTTCTGGCTTGTCATCTTCACTACCTTTGACTGTTGCACTTCTTTCTGCTTCTTGTAAAGTACTGCCATCAAAATTATATGGCCCAGAACACCTGCTAAGGCTTTTTGGTAAGTTGAGTATTAAAACTGGGATGTGCTTATTACCTTTCCAAGAGCCTATCTTACAAGGTGGGATGGGTGCATGGCAAGCCTCCCCCTCCATTCCACCTCCCCCCTCCATTCCACCTCCCCCCTCCAAGGTATCAATTTGAAATCAATAGAAGAAGCTACGATGTATATTACATATATATATTATATTACTGTATGTAGTATTATTACGGGCTCTCTGGATAATAGCCACCCCTCTCCCATTGAAATCATCCTGGATCTGGATTTTTTAAATACTTTATGTATTATTTTTGATATTGATCAGTGCCGTTGTTTTTTTTTAGTGAAATTTCCAGGATTATTAGTTAAAACTAATATGCCAGAAGTAAACTTGAGTGCTTTATTGGATCATATTGACTTGTTTCTGAAGTAAGTACATCAAAGACATTATTTTATAATCATACTTTCATTGTTAATGTTTTACTGACTCATTTTCTGTGTCAATCAATTATTTATTAGCGTGGTATAAAATTGCCCTTTAGAGATAGAGAAGTAGATAATAAATTAATGTTGGGGGTTGCAGATTTGTTGCACGACATTTATTTTGTTAATACCCCGGCATGTCCTTTTTTCATGTTTGCTTAATTTTTTTTCTGAAAGGAGAGGTAGCAGTATTCTTTCAGAGTTGAAGTACTTCTCGAAAACAATTTTTGGGGGAGGGGTGGGGGGTAAGCAACACCCTCAATTTATTACCTAATGATCCATCTCTTATTTCAGAGCCAGAGGCCCATGTTTAAGATAAAAACCAGGGTAACCTTTGTGACTTTTCTATTTGAATATTTCTTGCAGGTATTTAGTAGAGAGGTCACCTGTACTTTTCCAGGATGATGTTTACCAGTCTTTCTTGTAGTGTTAAAGCCTGTAATCTAATAGAGAGGGATGAAAACTGCAGTAGTTTGTAAATAAGCTTGTTTTCTTGAGTTTTGTACTGCTACGTACTGTAGTCTGAAGCAAAACTTTTGTTGTCATTAAACAAACAGAAATAAAGTAGAAGTTGCCAATAGATAATGCCAAGATGGAGGAAGAAACAAAATGAATATTCCTTTCCTTTTTGGGGTACTTGCATTTTTCAAACAAATTTCAGTTTAGGACTGGCATTTTTTGGGGAGGAATTTACTGTCCAGATGGGATGATCTTTTACTACAAAGCTCACCCATCTATGGCGATACATCAAAAATTTGTCTTGCTACCACACCCTAATTCGTCCACTAACACGCCTACTTTTGTCACTGTCTTGGAACAAGCACATTGCCAGAAAGGTATTCACTGTAATACATGTAACAAAAGTAGGCGTGACAGAAGACAAATCAGGGTGTGGTAGCAAGACAAATTTTCGACATCGTCACAGTTCGATGAGATACGTAGTATTCGTAAGTGAAAAAAGGCAACCTATTTTTCTGTCATCAAGTATCTAAAAGAACGATTAGAGATCATATCAAGGTAGAAGCCATGCACTACTGCAATTCTGGCACTTTCAGAATTCTGTTAAATCACAGGATTCACTTTACTTGTGCCGAACTAGGTCTATCACAATATATTACAAAAATGCTTAGGACCCCTAGAGTTTAACCAGAGATGCCTTGCTAAGATTAAAGAATTTTAGTGTAATCCCTAAATATCAAACAAGCTTGGTCTTATAGTGTAAATTTTATTAAAAAAAGGCTTTTACCATCACACATCTTGATGGTCTCACACAACGTAGTATCATTTCCACTCAAATACTTATATGGCACAATAAGAAGCCATTTTTAATAGCATATACATCAAACTTGTTATCATTTGAACTTAGAATTAAATTACATGTTATACACAAAGAAAGTATAATGATACATAATATACATAATTATTTTACACTAACTAGGGGTTAGAGACCTTACATTCATTGTTTTTTCCCTGAGATAACAAGCAAAATGCATTGTGGCCAAGCTTGGGACACTTACAAACGACTTTTCTTCATACATTTTGTTTAAAGGGAAGCATGAGTGGTGTAGCGGTGTGAGCGCTCGCCTCTCATCAATGCGACCCGAGTTTGAGTCCTGCCAGGTTCGGTGTTGTATATGAGTAGAGTTGTTTGTTGGTTCTCTCCTGTGCTTCGAGGGTTTTCCGGGTTCTCCGGTTTTCCTCCCTCCGCAAAAATCAACTCCTAAATTCCAATTCGATCATGGAATGAGGGCCACAGGTTTGTTAGCCACTGGCTATTAAGTGCTACCCTCGTGAAAAAAGGACGATTTTTTTTAAATTTATTTATTTTTTATTGAACTCAGAAAATATCTAATCAAGTGAGCTTGGCAGATAAAATATGCTCAATAGACCCAGAAAGCCCAAGCTAATATTATTAAATGGTATACACCACTAGACAGTTAAGTTGGCTTAGTATAAGTCGTGAGATAAATCTGTTCTTCTGGCTCCTAATGTAGCAAATGTGAATGGGAAAGTCTAAAACCCTAAAATTGGAATCCAGAATCCAAAACAGAATCCAGAATCAATAGTGGTACAAAAATCTAGAAATTCTAGGATCACCAAAAATGAATATTTTACATACATAATAATTATCCAATCAAAAATCTTCCCTTTCATATGTCCTGTGCAGTCTGAGCAGCTCATGTTTAACTTTCAGGTTGGAGTAGTTTAGATGATCGGTAAAGGTATTTGCAACATGATATTTATATAAATACTATTCAATTGGTAGCAATACTATATGAAATTGTATAGATATTAGATTTTATCATATAATTATCCATAAAATACCTATATTGTTTCTCCTTTTCGAATAACATGTTATTCTCACATGTGAAAATATTATTATAAATGTTATTTTCAGTGAAAATATCGTTACCATGTGTAGTTAAGCTATTAGTTTATAAATAAAACCTTTTTATAATAATAAAAAGTTTGTTAAGTTGATTTTATGGATAATTATATAATAAACAGAATATTACATGGGCGCTTGGAGATATGAAATGCATCTTCGAGCGTTGAAAAGATCTCTCACGAGTGAGCTACAACACTCGAAGAAAAAGTTTGTATCTCCGCGCGCCCATGTAATATCCTGTATACATCTAGGTGTAAGCCAGAATTATTATGAGTACTTTGCTCTGGCTTCAACAAAGTTTTTCTTAGCAAAGCATTCTTCATGATATATTTTGTTATGATCTTCAATCCAACGACCAGTGAATCCTTCTTCTGAGTTAGGTGCAATAACATCACAGCAGCTGCTACACCTTGGACCAGCAAACTGGCGATAGCATTCTTCATGATATTTTTTGTTATCATAGATTCCCCATTCCCCTGACAAGCCTTTTGATGGATGTGCTATTAATGCAAAACAGCAATGCTCACATTTTGGTCCCTTACTCTTCATGTAGCATTCGGAATGGTATGCCTGCCAGACAAGAAAATAAAACCAATTAGAATAAAAAAAGTCTAATATAGAAGAGAGAGGCAATGAATGGGAATAGAATAGAAAATCAAAATATGATGGAGTAGTCTCAAAGTACAAAATAGAGTAGAATAGAATTGATTTGAAAATGATAGTACGGAAATAGAAATGGAAAACCTTTCAATCTTATGGCGTTACACATGGGAATTTGTTTTTAATTATTAGAAAAGTTTTTAATTCTAGCAAAAATGCCTTGCTTATATCCCTTTTCCAACAATACCTCTATTAACTTTCCACCATGACCATAGCTAAACACACTACACACATATGCAGAGTCTATATATACCTACTTGCAAGAAGGTTGTCATACCAGAATAGAACATTTTAAATTTAGTAAATTAGTGATTTAGTAAATTTGCCGATTAGGAATAAATTATCATTGACGTCAGACTTGAATTCATCAGTAAGAAAAAGATAATTTTGGACGACATGATGTAACTGGCATAAAGATGAAGATGTAATTTCAAAGTTAACACGAAAATGAATAAATCAAAAACAAGATTAGTATTTGTTTTTGTATGTTTCTGCTCGTGTAGACTAACATTGTGGCTGTCATGCAGTAGATAAATAGGTTGACATGATAACAATGCTAAAAGAATTTACTTTAGACTGGGAAAACTAACGCAACTAAAACTACGAATTCTAGCGCTGCCTGGCGTTTCTGAAATGTTAGTAGTTAGTCTGAGGTCAGTGATAATTTATTCCTAATCGGTAAATTTACTATTCACTAATTCACTAATTTGCAAATGTTCTATTATTGTATGACAACCTTCTTGCAAGTAGGTCAACTTATTTTTAGATTCATTACGCAATTTTTAAAAAGGTGTGGGGTATTGTATTGTCCAGAGAAATACTACACTCTTATGATTAAAAAATATATATATTAGAAATATTCTCATTTCAAGTATCTATTTTTCAAAGATAACTAGAACAATTGATCTAAACCTAAAAGGGCCAGATTACAATTCTTCTGATTAATATTTAACAATAACCAGTAACAAGTTGAGCACGAATCAAGAGATGCATTTTCCACCATATTTCAGTGTTAAAGTTTATTCACGATAGAATAACAGAATGTTATTTCTATATYGTTCAGTAATAAGTTTTTTGAAAATTTTTACATACCTTTGTGCCCTGCCAAATCATTTTCCCAGAGAATCCCTCCTCGGGATCTGGTTTAATTGGATCAAAACAAGACGAGCACCTTTCTTCTGTGTCGACCGGAAATCTTTCCTCAACGTTCTTTAACAAAGCTTCCTTTTCTTGACTTATATAAAGAGGTGGATTAGAGATTGGAGAAGAAGCACACTCACTATACGGTGGAGGTGGTTCGTTGGGAGGGACACAGCTGGGTCCTGAAGCTGGACTTTTTCCGTACATTTTACACAGTCTTTCACGAGCATGGTCGACGTTATTGTGGCATTCAGTTAAAACTTTGTCTGCTTGTTCCTTTGGGAAACCAAAATTTAATACCAAATCATTTAAAGCGCTTTCTCTGGCTTTCAAATCAGCTTCACTCTGCTTCTTTCCCGACGCCATTTTAAATTTCCACATTATTATGTTGCATAATCCATGCTGTGCGATCCCGTTTGATCCCGCTACTGAATCCCTAATCCCGCGACTGCGTCCAAGTTCATAGTACCACAGGAAACCCGTCTGCTAAAGGAAAACTACTGCGTTGCCTGGCTACCTAAATTTTGTACTTTATTACAAGACAGTAAGAAGCAAAATAAAAACATATGAAACTCACTCAAATAAGTCGAGAAATTTATTTACTTCACATGGCTTTTGTCCCAAGCTCGTACTCAGAGCCCGCGTTCTTGGCCAGCACCGAAAAGATTGCTTTTTTACAAACATTTTAAACACTAAATGTCCTTTTCAAAACATTTAAATTAAGAATAAAAGAAATTCGTAGTTTCTTCTTTCGATCCTCGTTTCTGCATCGATGAAGCAGCGACGGTCATTTTATACTGAAGAGATAAAAAAACTCCCCTTGCTTGTGCTATGTTGAGTTATACAAGCACGCGGGAAATCGCGTGAGTCAGAGAGAAGTGCTAGGAGAAGCCGTAGGCGTGTGCTTCTCGGCACTTCTCGAGGGCTCACGCAATTTCCCAAGTACTTGTGTAACTCAACATAGCACAAGCAAGGGGAGTTTTCTATCTCTTTTATAAAATAACTAAGATATAACTAAAGTTTAACTGAAAAGAAATAATATAAAAACATCGCTTGCGTTAATGACGTCATTTCCTCACGATCTATGTTGAGTTATATAAAACGCTAATTGACCAATCAGAGCGCGCGTTATATCTTGGTTATTTTATACTAACAAAAACATAAATGCTTGTGCCTACGTCATCATTATCCTTACGGGATCCCTGTGGTTTTACGAAAACAAAAAGAACCTTCACACAAGATTCAGTTGTTCCACCAAGACAGACCGGCTCGCAGTCATGAGTATTATTCCATCTCTTGGCTTTATAGGGGCTGGTAAAGCAGCACAGGTCATAGCTAAAGGATTTTTATCAGCCGGAGTCATAAAAGCCAGTGAAATCATCGCCAGTGCACCTCATGAAAACGGACTTGAAGAATTCCGCAAACTAGGCTGCCATACTACTTCAGACAACAAAAAAGTCATTAAGGACTCAACGAACATCATTCTCGCTGTAAAAGCCAAAGTATTCCCTACGCTTTTCAATGAAATCTCTCCTTCAGTCACAAGAGATCACCTTGTATCTTCCATCGCTGCTGGAGTAACGTTGGATTATATGCAAAAAACCCTTCCTGGAAGAACTCGATTAGTAAGAATGATGTTGAATACCCCCATACAGTTTTGTGAAGGAGTCACGGCCGTGACCTTTGGGAAATTCGCCCGTGAAGAAGATGTAACACTCATTCACCAGCTAATGTCGTCTGTTGGTTATTGTCTTGAAGTAGAAGAAGATAGCATGGATGTAATGACGGCACTAATGGGAGGTGGACCGGCTTATTTTTACCTTGCTATCGAAGCTCTAGCAGACGGTGGTGTTTTAGCTGGACTAAATAGATCTCAGGCTATGAAACTCGCTGCTAAAACTGCAGCAGGAGCAGCTAAAATGGCTTTAGAGAGTGGAAAACATCCTGGTGAACTTAAAGACGACGTATGTTCGGCTGGAGGGTCGACTATCGTTGGTATAGACGTTTTGGAAGAACGTGGCTTTAGAAGTGCTCTCATAAAAGCAGTCAATGCTGCTAGCGAAAGAGCAAAACACATGGGACGCACGTCTATCAAAGGATATGTTCCTAAATAAAACCGAGACTTTTTTTGCACCAGATGGGTATATAGTTATATTTTAAGATTATATGACTAACTCAAAAAATCAAGGTTTAAAACTCACTACACGTGGTCGATCTGGCTAATGACACGTGGCATTCAATGTTTTGATTTTTTCGCGTTACTCTACCCGCTAATTTTCACTTTAACCTTAAGTTTCACATGAAAATTATACGTTTTATTAGCGAAACACTACTTCATTAGAAAAGTTGGCGATTTCATCATCCTATTTTAATGAATGCAAAAAAAGTCATTAATCGTAATTTATTCGAGAAAACCACAGGAAGCCCAAGCACGGTACTCTACTTCATGCCGATTTTTTTTTTGATGTGTGTGGATTTGTATTAATTTATTGTAGAATATTCTAAAGTAATTTTTGTATTATTCAGCTTGTTAATATTTGTTTGTGTGTTCTTGTTCCTATTTTGTGCCGCTATTTGTAATTTGAAGCTCATCTGACGAGCTTTAGCTTCTATCCTTATGTCCTAATGTTTGATTACCCCCACCCATTCCCTGTTGTTTTTGATGACCTATCAATCAATTAAATGACAATATATCCATCCATATTATGATTTTTATTCAAATTTAGCAGTATTTAGTGGTATTTATATTGCACACTTATAGTGTTTGTACTCTACTAGAGTGCAAACAATAATTAATCCGCGAAACACTAATTACTAAATAGTACAAAATAGTGCTAATTAAACAATAGAAAACAATGGAATTTGCATGAAATTGTGCTATTTAGTATTACTAAAGTTTCACGGATATATTGTTTGCACTCTAGTCTACTAAAGTAGTTTTCAAAAACCTGAGAAACAATTAAAAAGTTTAAAAAATCTAGCATATTTAGCAGTTATAAATTTTACTCCACTTAAATATTGTTTATAAATATGTAGCTACTGCTATAGCATCAAGCCTAAACTATCTATGAAATAGAACAAGATTCAATTAGGCACTCTAACCATTGCATTATTATAGAGCCTGCCATATTCACACAAAAGTTACTACAACCTATACATATCATAATAATATTTTGACATGAATTTCAAGGTCATATATCCGCTTTACTTAAAACATGCAGACTTTTTGTTTTGCATAAGTTAAATCTTTTAGGATTTAAATTATTATTTACACTATACATTTAGTACCTATAAAATCTAATGATGATTAAATATCATATTCATTTGAGGATTAAAATTGTATAAAAATTATACCAAAAAGTTTTGGTTTGTTTCATACATGATCCTTTCTTGCAAACTTCCCATATGTGTCATCAGTGCTTATTGAAAACTTTGAATTATATCAGTAAATTAAAGTTAAATTTATAATCAAGAAGTTAAACAATAATTCTTGATTACAAACGGAGATGGAATCAATCCTCTTCATCTTTTTTAAATGCCAGTAGTTTCTGTGTTCCTTCATATGCCATAAATAATGCACCATTTGCAGGGAAACATCTTATAATGGTTGGTCCCAAGCCTTTGTACAGTGCTCTAATACCTTTATTAGATTAATATAAAACAACAATGTATCATTAAATACAGAAGAGGGAGGGGGTACTGTAGAGACAAAGGAAATTAGCCATTCTGAGGTTGAGAAAAAAATGGGTAGGGTTGGCAGTGAATGCAGTGCATTTTGGGGAAGAAACTGATGCCATCTTGGAAATATGTCCCATAAAACAGACCCACAATGCATGGGCTATAGCTTCCCACATTTGCTAATACTGGCTTACCATTTTTAGTCTTAGTGTATGCATATGCATACTGGTACATGTCTTTTATATTTCATTCAAATCTAAGCCCACCCACTTCCTAGAGTACTCTGCAGTCTTCGACATAGACATGCCATCCCATTACATGGAGAATAGAGGCAAGTTTAGAATAGAACATCTATATAGTGCGTTTTTAAATAAATTACCTTCAGTCCTATATATATACCGTAAAGTTTCCACAAAGCCAGGTGCCTTTTCTTTGCCTGAACTTAAGATCTAATTGAAGAAAAAGAATAAAATCATAATCTTTCATCATAAAAAACCATAAGATCTTTTTTTAATAATTTGGTGCTTAGTAATTGGGAAGGCATAGCCATATCACATTCGCCTCCAAGGGTGGATCCAGGGTAGTTTACGTGATTTCCGTAAACTACTCAATTTTTTTCAAA